ACTCACAAAAGCATTGCTTCCAAAAGTCTTTGCTGACTGACATTTACATTTTTTTTTCTCCTTTTCCACATCACATAGATTGTTTGGGGCTTTTGCATTATGCAAACGTGGTATTCCTTTGCTGATCTTTTTTTTCCCTATTGAATCTTTCTCAGTACCACTGACAACAAATGGCATTTAAAATCACCACAGGGGTCCGCTGCATCCTGCCAAAGGGAAATGCAGAACAGAGCAGGAAGGTATCAATGTGCAGCGTCTTATGTTAGCAAGTCAGACTGTGAGCAACATGACAGAAGGTCAAGAGCTCATTTTAGGCCATGCTTTATTGTGTGGTGGAACGAGAAAGACACTTAATTTCTCCAATTCTGCAAAGTTTCTTGTATTGTTAGCACTTGCTTTAACACATTCCTTTTGCSTACTTCTTCACTATGGCATGACACATTCAGGCATGCAAATCCAAACATTTACCAGTTGTTGCACTGATGTTGACAGAAAGATGGCAAAAAGTGTGGAAACACAAGAATATATGATATTYAACTGTAAATCCATTTGTAAGTAAGTGGCAAGAGTTTGTTAATATTCTAATCTGCATAATTCTCAATATGACTTGCCTGTACTATTTGAGACACTTGAACAGTAGTATTACAAAGATGATCAAATTGAAATGGTGGAGACTAGTTTCTTTACAAATGAGAATTTTAATTCTGACAAGGTCATAATATATTTTTATAATTCTACTAATGTCCTTTTTGTTGATTTTTGCCATARTTGTAAGAGTAGGCATACCTTTTTAAGAGTTGGTCCCTGAAACCTAAATGAGACTATACTGAGTCTCTTTTATTCTCTAACCACRCATCACTCATAAATGCACATTACCCACACACTGTTACCAAGCTGGATACTTTCAGTGTCTAAAAAGAACTAATATTGTGCTTGTGCTTTCTACAGTTATGCCTGTGGTAAAAGAGGACATTAATTGTTTTAGTCTGTTTAGACATGATGGATCTTTCAATGCTTACCCTAAGGAGAAGGTCACAGCAGAGCAGGGTGGTGTACACAAATGAAAATACGCTTTTAATGGGAAGCTATTTATAAGCAAGAAACTTCTGACCACATTATGGAAGCTGACTAAGACTGGTGGAGCAGTTTTTTGACTGGTGAATCAGTTGCAAAGTTCTAGCTTTGTTAGTTAGTGTGTAACACTAACTAACAAAGCTTTGAATGCTCTTTGAATTTCGAGACTCAAATTCCAACTTCTGAGGAATAGTATAGGTGTTTATGCATGGTAAGGCTCGGCTTGGCGTGGGATAATAATATTAAACACATGCAAATCTTGTTTTGTTTTGTTTGTGATACAACAATAATTGGACTACACCAAAACAAAATAAAAAGTGCCAAACATTGAACGGTGYCATGCAGCAATATGACACTTCAGATGAGAGGGCAGGAGGACAGAATGGAAGGCTAATGGTAGCTAATGTTAGCTTCTTRTTGTTTGTTAGCTACTGTTTTTATATAGTTAAACTTGAGATAAAATTAATGTTTCAGTTGCTGCAAATGATTCACATAAAGTTACTGTCATCTCTGTGAAATAACACCTGATCAGTGAACCAATCAAAAAGCAGAAGTAGCTGACGTCAAATTGGGTCGAGCAAAGCTTGATTGGAAAAGCAGCTCTCAGGTTTCAAGAAATTGAGGTGGACCTGGGCTATAAGGGCTAATGCAAACAAAGTGAACACGGTTTTTTTATATAGTTAATTTTTTTCTACACAAAGTAAATAAACAATTAAACAGACAATTAAATAAAAAAGAGAAGGAAACAGAAAAAGTCATTACTATTATAGTTCTTCATATACTGTATTATGATGGTGGAAATACAGTATAAGTGAGCTAATTTTTGGACTATAATGTTTTATTTATTTATTTATTTGTTTATTTATTTATTTATTTATTTGTTTTATTTTATGATTTTAAATTTGCAGAAATAATGATGCTTCCCAACACATTAGTACTGTCATAGCAATAACAACAACATAATTCTATTTTTAGTCTGAGCCTACGAGGTCGTTTTCCTCACCTTAGGCAGTTGTGAGACTCTGCTGAATGAGATGATTGATCTCAAAGGGTTCATCCAGAGAGTAATATATTTCTCTAATATAGTGCRCTCTTTTGTGCCACTTGCCATTTTGTGGAGTGATATGATAGCCCTAAAAATGCTTTATGTGGCCAAAGTAGTTGATATTAAATGAGATACTTTGGGAAGACCTTTGGCTGTGGGTCACGGTGCAGTGGATGTATTAATCCGTAAAAACATATGGCAAAGTAAATGAGCCCTGACATGCTAAGTGAATGCTTTAGATAGCACAGGCGCTCAGARAGACTTATGTCATTGCTGAGCTTTATGACATGGACAGCAAGGACTCAAACTGAGGGCCACCTCACATAAGGGATAGATGACAGGTTCTGCTTTCATACCTGCCTCSTGCTAGAAATCAGCACAATGCGGTACAGCCTCTACAACATATGTCAATGCCTCTTTAAATGTTTATATTTTTGAAGAACTGAATTATTTCCWCAAAATATTGACTGCTACAGAAACACCACTGCAAACTTTGGAARCACCTAAAAATATGTCGGTCACATTATTAAAATAGTATCACTTGGAAGCACWAGGTGTAAATATAACAAATCAAATGGTATAACAGCAAGAAGTGAGAGTGCTAGGGGAACTGCAACACCCCCGTCTCTTTATGCTATCCCTCCTCCAATGGGCTGAGGACTGCTGTTTATTTTTAAGCATGCATAGTTGAGAGAGGTTTATATATCTGCTGGCATCCCACCTCTCCCGTTCACTGTCAGGTGTGATAACTTTTTTTCTATTTTTAAAGTCTCACAAGCAGCATAAGCTGATGCTTCATACATTGTGCTTCTGTTTCTCTGCTGATGCGTTGAAGCACAAAGTTTTGGACAGGATTTTGACAGCCTCTCARACATGAAAGAAATGCCGGAGTTCAATGGGATGTTCAACCAACGACAGCACTTTAGAGGTGTAACGTTTGCCTAAATAATGACTCTGTGTTGCTACTTCTCAAAAGTTCACAAGCAATTTTCAAACCTTTTACAATGCTCCATGTCCTGGATGTAGTTTGAKTTCATTTGCATGTTCTTTAAGTTTTAAATTTGAAACCAACTGGAGAACCACCTAAACCTAAAAACTACATTTTGCAGCTTTTTGCCCAATATGTTAACATAGGATTTCTTTGACAAGGACAGGAGAACTGATAGAAATATAATAGGACATCAGTGCACCTGGCATTCCCAGGTAGTGCCCCAACCAAGTACTAACCAGGTCTGACCCTGCTTAGCTTTTAAGCTCAGACAAGATCTGGCATATTCAGGAGAGTATGCATCAACCTATATATTCATAAAAAAGGAAAGAAAATGGAWCTTTTGCAGATTATATCATAAATGTAAAGGTAGCTGCCAAAGTGGGTACAAAGCTTGCCCATTCTGTGCAACACAATAATGGTGCATGGCCAGGAATGCAGKTTTACAAGTAATGCATGTGAAAATACACTGTGTTAAAAAGCCTCTCAGAAGGCAGACAAACAGCAAGCTGGTTATTTGGTCAGAAATTCTAGATTCATAAGACTGCAACAAAAACATCTGCATATTTTCTCAGAACTGCTCTATAGTCTCCAAAAGTCTCAGTTCCTGTCCCTTAAAAATAAAATRCAGCAATTTCAAGAGCCACTGTTTCGCATGAGAATTTACAAGATATTTTGTGTAAAACTGTTTTTTTCTAAAMATGTTTACGAACCCTTTTGAGAATTATGATTCCCTCTTGATTGTGTTCGTTAGTGGTAATATCAAACATGGCACCTCCGTCGCCTGGCACAATGGTGTACTGTACTTCAGCATTTCTCCCAATGTCCAAGTCATGGGCTTTTATTCTGCCAACAGCAGAGCCCACTGCAGAGGATTCAGGAACCCGTAGGTGAAAGAAACCTGTCAACAAAAAAATACATAGTCTGATTCATTTGTTATCATCACTTGATGTAAAATAGAAACACAAATTGGGAATTTAGTATTTATTTAGTTGCCAAATAATGTACCACAAAATTTAGTATTTATTCAATTGCCAAATAATGTACCACAATAATCATCCTTAGGCAAAGCAACTGAAATTCTCATGAAGGCCACTCAGTTTTATAAGTGGCTGACCTAACTAGGTTGACAAATGCCTGGAAGTTTTTGAGGGCTAATTAAGGGCTATTACACTGACAGCATCATCACCAGGCTATGACAGGAAACAGAGAACAACAGATTTACTGATTATCGTTTACACTGGGAGTGAAGGAAAATTAATAGTGTCCATGCTTTACTTTACTGTGTAAGGTCAGGTTCAAAATGTGTTAGAGAAATAAAAACTTCACTGTTGGGTTTCAGAATTGRAGCCCACATCTGGTGACACCATAAAGTTGGTGTGAGTAATTTGGTATATATATATATATATATATATATATATTACATACATATATATATATATATATATACTTTTTTCTGTTCCCTTTTTACATAACTTGATAAACGGTACAATTGAACTAATCAGGTTTAGCGGCTTGTGGTACCAAAATATGCAGTTTAAATACACTGACTGAATCCATGWCTCTACACAAACATGCTCAAATCTGATCTAAATATAGACAGGATGCCCATGAGCAAAGTAACATCTACCCTGGTTTATTTGCCAGGAGTTGTAGCTGTAGACGCAATCACACTAAATAAACAGGCCATTGCTCACGACAGTGCAYAATGACAAATAATGAAAAGCAATTACAAAGAGAAGTGATGATGAATACCCCCTGTGTTTTTGTAATTGAGCACTGTTTATTTTATTTTTAAAGCACGTGTGAACCTGTACATGTTTATCAGCATTTCTTTTTTGTACAAAAATAGCTAACATTAAATCTGATTTTTATTAAACATTTATATTGACAACTGTTCAGTCCACTCACTTTTAGAAAACCTTGGTGAGTTGTCGTTGACATCGCTGAGGGTGATGTTGACGACAGTGGTCCCAGCCAGTCCTCCCAGCTGCCCCCCCATGTCCTTGGCCTGAATTAATACCTGGTACTGTTCCTTCACCTCTCTGTCCATATTGGACAAAGCTGTTTTTATAACCCCTGGTGTACAGCAGGATTTATGAGAGTAACAGGTAAAAGAGAAGAGAGAAACAGAGAGAAAAGAGGAAGAGACATGGAAAAGAATCATGACATAAAACAAAGGAAAAGAGCGGTAAAAATGTATCCAGAAATACGATGCACAGTTTATTTCAAAATGCACWGTATATTTCCACCTTCTACACTCCTGGAGAAGTCCATCTGACTAAGGCTGAAATAGAGGTCATCCCACAAACTGGAACCACTTGACATTCAACAGGGAGCACTGGTGAAGCCATATAATGATTCACTTGAGGATCAGAGACCCTGAGATCAGACAGCATTTGTACCTCAGATTAATAGCTAGGTCAGTGGGAGGTTGGCAGGTTAAAGGGAAAGCATGCAGCAAAAGCTGGTTCAAACTGTCTCCATCTATTATCCTATTAATTATGATGCACACATTTGAGCTGATCCACAAATCGCTTTGTAAAACCAAAATCATACAGTGATTACTTTTGAAATTTCTRCCAGAGAGAGGTATGCTTCTCTGCTGCGTGTATGCTAATTTATRCATGTTGTTGTTGTTGTCCCCCTTCCCTTGTTCACCTTTTACCCCCCGTTGTTTGCTCTCCTTTTTTTGTGCCCGTTTGGAGATAGCAGCAGACCCAGCAGGGCAAACATTTGCTTTAACGGTTGATTTTTTTTTCTTCCTCAGCATCAGTTTGAAATACTATCACAGTAGGTGCTCTGCAAAGCTCTGGGATGAGCAGCATGATCAGCGACAGATTTCACCATATCTGGCTGTGTGATATGTAAGAAGCTATTTTCATATGCATTTGGTTGTCCCAGATTGTAAGCAACAGCAAYGTGGTACTAACACTGGCTGTATGAAGTTATCTCTGATTTAGAACAGTCATCTTCCATACCATCTTACCACCACCATTTTGTAACCTGCTTCATTTTGCAAATTGATGAAAGCTTATTGAGAGTATAAGTGATGCAGAAACTGTTGCAATTGTCGCCATTTTGCTTTAGCCCCCTGCTGCATACGATTGGTCACTCTGCATCAAATAATTACTGACTTATTTGATGTGTTTGAGAAGGTAGTGACAATAAACACACACTGAAAACTGTACAATGCATTGCAGTGCATATTGGAGGGAATTTTATTTAATGCATGTATTGCCTGTAATTAGGACTGATTTATTTAAGATGAGTGCTTAACCTTAAGCCCGATGGGCCCTGTACAGGTCCAGCAGATGGCATCATTCGTTGTTGTTTGCTTAAGTAGGTGTAAAACTWATTTTTTCCCAAATGTTTTCTAAGTCCATCACGAAAGGTGTCTTTAATGTTTTTAAAATGAGTTGCCAAATTATTTTTGAATAAATATTTATGATTTTAGGGCTATATAAACATTTGTAAGTTACTTGAACCGTCACAGACCGTTTTAGTATCAGGAAGTTCTCCGCATCTGTTGCTGTGCAAGTTTTAGCCCCATACCCCTCCCTTTGGTATCTTTGAAAAGACAAAGCTCTCACGAATTCAGGGATATATCTTGACACTGTGTTACTCTTTGTTTGGTGACGTGAAGTTTGTGCATAACCGAGAGTATAATAACAGCCATCATGCGTAAAACGTGGAGGCGGAGTTACGTTCCATTCGGTGATTTCACGGTGTGCACAATGGTAGATTTTGATGATGCACAGTGTAAATGTAAAAAGAAAAGGTTATGTCATATGCAGAATGGGTCCTACAACAGAAATCAACACTTTTATTAGACCAGGTTCTCTTTTATAAAGTAAAATATATATATATTTGGCACAGTTTTGGGTACATTTGGCTAAATTGTGCCAAAATGCCATTTCTGCCAGGCACATTGCTCACTAAAACCTTTGCAAAATGAATATACTTCAACTTATTCAGTCTCACTCTGCTACATTTTTCTCAACATGTAGATGTATAAAATCTAAGGGCATTCCTGTGTTTTCACAAGAATGTTCATTGTGTTTTGCACTGTTGATTAAAAAAAAAGAGGCGATGCTAAAAATATTACAAATTTTCTTTATTTAATCACAAATAACTCCAGCACATTAAGAGTTACAATAGTGGTTTCACTTAATAAAATTAAGGTWAAGATCTTACCTTTAAAGAGGTACAAAGAGTTARCATTTAGRCYTTATAAMTGTGGAGCTATTCTTGCTTTATTTTGCTGTGTATTTTCAGGCGGAAATTACCTCTAAGATGGTACTAGTTCTTATAAATCCTCCGAATTTTACATCAGTTTTGTCAGAAAATTTAACACGGTAATGTTCAATGATTATCTCACTTAAGTTGTATTTACATTTTCCTGTCTGTGATCCCCCTAGAAAACATTAAATACAGTAGTAGGACCAGTGATCATACTGCCCAACAATTTTATAGAACAAATGATTTAATTAATTAATTAATTAATGACCAAGTATGTCCAGGATTGGTGAGGCCTTGTTCTAATAAAATATTTTCCCCAAGAAGATATTTGGGTTGTTTGAGAAAATCTTGCTCTGTCTGACAAATTTATGGAACAATACGAGGTTCAATTCATGAGAATCAAAATAWATGGCAAATGACTTCCCTTCAACGGAAGCTCTAATGGTGGTTATAAGGAAGAGACTGGTATCTTGAATGGATGATATTTATTTTTGTCGTTTTTGCTCAGTTGTTCTCACAACCTCACAATTTTACACTATCTGAGACAAGATCAAGTTCATCAGTCTGTTTTATTGCCCATGGATTTGAAGTAGGGCTAAGGACATAAAGCTCAAGCACAGCAGAGGAGGATGCCAAGAGATTGCAAGTTTTCAAAATTTCAGACAGTGCTGAGCCTTTTTTAGATTTTCGTGAGTTTTGCTTTACCAGACAGTGTTTTATTCAGTGAAAATACAATTCTCAAACACAGAAAAAAACCCACACCTAATTCTTTAAACAACGAGTTACCTAATCCTTCTCAAAAATTGCTTGTAAACAAACATAACGAAGATACCCGTTTTTCTCATTTTTAATATATTACCTACAGAAATGTATCAGTCAAATCTGTCATAAAATCACAGCTCARATAAATAGCTAAGCAGCTTACCTGTTTTAGGGTCAACAGAGAAATATGGTTGACCATGGAGGATGCTATATACTACTCTAGCACTGTTTCCATAGGTTGGGTCATCCGCATCTGTCGCTGTTACTTGCGTCACATAAGTCCCTGCAGAAAAGAGTGTGAAAAACATATTGACTTTGAGTTAATCGGCTTCCTCACGAGACTGAAATCCAAACTCTTTGAAGTTCATCAGCTTTCCAAATGATCTCACCTGACACTAATGAGTGGTGAATCACCGGTGAGAAACCTGCTGCTAATGATGAAAAGTGAAGAAGTCTGATAGAGTGCAATGGGGAGATGTGTAGGGGGAAAAATAGTGTGTTGCAGGGCAATAGAATATCCTTGTTTGCATTTTGCACACTTACACCATTACAAAGCAGCAATTAAAACAATGATGCAAAAGCTCTTGTGCAGTCATTCATTAAATGATGCTACCATTAAGAAAACAAAGAGCTGCGACAAGAACCGTGTTAAGATGGCAGTCTTCCAGACTCCTAACAGTGACAGAATAATTACAAGTAGGAGGTTTGGCTCATCTCTTTTTAACTATCTGGCAAAAGCACTTCTTTCACAAAGTCAGTCTTTATTTTGTTATTTTGTGTTTTTAAATTCAAAGACTGAATAAATGTTTCTAGTTTTATAACCCCACAAAAGAAGCATTTTGCTCGGAATGACCTACAAAAACACATCTGGACAGTTTAAAAACATACTGGGTACAATGAAAATTGCAGGATGTGTGGGAAGCCGTTTTTATGTTCAAGAGACGCTGACCAGAGGGATGGCATTTAACATGGCAGTTTACATTCTGGTAAGCTCCTGTAAAGAAGTTGCTATTTAATAAATAGGCTTTTCAGTCTGAGCGGGTGTTAACAATGGAATTAAAACCTTAGGTGGAGAGAGATTAGTGTCTCTCATCTCTGTCAAACATGCCTGATTGCCTGAGAAGGATTGCATTGTGCTCAATAAGTGTATACAATAGATGAGATAACGTATTTTCCTTTCAGGCAAAGAGGAGAGAAACAAAACGATTACAGCTTATATATACTGTATATATATATTGAAAGTTTGAAAGCCTTCAAGTACCTCTGACTCCTACACATTCCCAGGCAGCAAAAGTAGCAGCTTTTGCATAAATGTGAGGCTATAAACAAGTCAAATTAATTCTCTTTGCAGGATTGTGACAAGTCAAATAACTGAGTGAGACCATGATTGAAAGGAATGGTTTCAAAGTCCTTAGCTGGTTAAAAATATACCCAGCTTCACCAAATGTTACAGTTTTCACCAAATTATTGTAAAGGGAATGAACCTGTGCAGTACAATCAGTAGTGGGCACAGCATAAAGCTAGCATCACTAACTACTCTAATCTGCTAACACAAATCTTAATTTTGCTAACCCTCAACAGCTAAACAGATTAAAAATTAGAGGAAGCTGACAGCTAAATCGACTGTCACAGCCTGTATCACACGTCTTCATCTCCTTCCAGTTGAAGTTTTCTATTGGTTTCATTTGAAGGTTAGTGAAATCATGTGCGGCAAATCAGAAAATCTTTAACTCAATGACTTGTGATACTTCCAGTTTATTCAGTTCAAATTCATCCCTTTTAAAATAAAAATATATACATTTGATCAAGTTTGTATTTTTATAAATACTGTTTGTAGGCAAACAAATAGCTTTCTCTGACATTGTTTATATGTAGTCATATTTTGTATTTGTTAAATATTATTAACTGCAATTTTAATATTTTTTGACAATCTTAGTTTGAAGTTTAGCTGTTAAAGATGTTACATGCTACACATGTGCTTGACAAATACAGCACTGATTGTAAGAGGTAGTAGTTTTTGGTTTATTTGGGATAAATCACATAAAAGTAAAGTTTTTCACTTGGGATTTTTTTTAGCGGACATAAAATTAGCAGAGCCTAATTTAGGATCTGCTAATCTGCCCACCTAATCTAGTGGAAACTAATCAGTCTACTAACTGTTGCCAAAGTCAGCAAAATACTGATCCACTAAACAAGAATCTAGTTTTGCTATTAGCGGAACAGCAAGCAGTGCCTACCACTGAGTACAATGGCCTGGGACTGTGGAAGCTCGATGGTCAGTGACACGGTCTTGTAAACCTGAGGATGTAGATTTGAGCCCAGGTTGTGTCAGAAAGGGAATTTGGCATAAAACCATTATAACTTTTTTCATGTAAAACTCCCTGCGGCTACCTCTGTACAGTATACAGCAGTGGTTCCCAAACTTTTTATCTTCTGACCCACAAAATATCCATGGCTTAAACTTGTGACCCCAAATATTACTGGTCTGAGTACATGAACTTTGTTAATAACCCTAAAAACACAGGCTTTTTGACAATCTAAACAGTTTATACACAAATATAAATACAAATATAAATACTTATTTATAGTTATTTTGTGTTTTTGTAATAATTATAGGGAAAATATTACATCACCAATTATTTATTAGCCTTTAAATTGATTTCTGGAGATTATCCAAGGTGCTTCATGACCCATAATTGGGTCCCAAGCCCAACTTTGGGAACCAAAGTGCAGTGGTTCCCAAACTTTTCAGCTTTTGACCCACAAAATAACAGCAGCAGAGACCTGTGCCCCCAGATATTATTGTATGATAAACATTTKTATCAGGTCAACTAAACATGGGCACAGTAACAATATTTTTATACTACTTTTATCCATTTTGAATACACTAACCTCACTCCTTTGTAACAATTAAGGCAAAAATGTAATTAATTCAGAAAATATTTTCAGGACCCCACCTTGATGTTTTGGGACCCCACTTTGGGTCCCGACCCCAACTTTGGGAAACACTGGTATACAGTATAAGGGAGCAGTTGAAACAAAAGCAACACTATACTACAGTACAATGGTAGCTCAGTAGCCAGTGCTGCAGTGTTCTAATTCTGAGGCTGTGGATTCAAGTCCAGGTTTCATCAAACATGCAAAGGGACATTATTTCAACTTCATTCAAAAAGGTCCCACCCAGAACTTGCTTGCTGCGAAACAGCAGTACTAACCAACTGAGGCATTGTGTGTTGTGAGCTGCATGATGACTCAAGACCAAGTCTTTTTTTAATAAAACATTTTAATTGCGTGTTTTGTTTGGTCTCACCATAAAAATTGCAACATTTATTATGTAACTGGATTAGAACTGTGATAAAAAGWTGCACGGCTATCCAAAACCAAATCCAAAACTGTTGGTCATTTARTTGTTTTGCTTTGTCTGGTTTTTGATCCTAATGCTTTGGTCCATGGCCACAATATGATTTTTTATCTTGAAAGCCTCTCTCATGCAGTTAACACTACAGTTCTCCTTTTGATTCAGGGTGCTCACTGAGGCTATACTGCACCCCCCCCCCACCCCCCACCCCTGCCCGCTTTCTAGCCATCCTCTTGAGACTGTTAAATTTGAAGTTTTGAGGGCTTCATTGTGATTCACATCAAGAGAAACCATTCTCCCAGCGAATTACCTTGATCTGTCCTCCCTGGGGGGAATGTGTAAAGACAAAGCAGTGAAATGTACTTAGGGCACACCGAGAATAAAACTGTTCTCTGAAATGTCAAAATCTGTTAGGGAGAGCAGTGTTACCCCTCTGGTTGTAACCATGCTGCACCTGAAACTGAACAAAGTGAGAAAACTAAGTTTTTTTTCTCTTTTTTTCCCTTTTTTAACTGGAAAGAATATCCTTCTCAGAACTTTGAATGGCCACTTACCAACTGGTGACATCTCAGGAACACTGGCTGTATAAGGTCCCTCCAGGAACTTCGGCTCATTGTCATTGATATCTTGGACCTTAATAACAAATTCTGATTCAGGCTCCAGTGGGATATTGGTGTCAATGTCCACAGCCTGAGCGCGTAGGGTGTAGTAAGGCTTTTCCTCTCTGTCAAGACTCCTTAAGGCATGGATGTCCCCGGTAGTTTGGTCAATTGTGAAAATGGAGCCAGCACCATCCCCTGAGAGGGTGTACTTCACCGAACTGTCCCCCTTATCGAGGTCAGTGTGGAGCTGCAAGACAAAAGAGGGGGGAAAAAAGACAGGTTGAGTGCAAACATTGGCACAGATAATGGTTCAATGAAAACACTGGGGAAGAGCTGTCAAGGGAAACTATTTCACAATGACAGTCAAGGAAACTGACTGCACATCAAAGAGCAAATTCATCTCTCTGCAAAGATCTGCAAAACACCAAGTCGGGAAAAAAAATAGAATGATCATGCTTTCAGAACATTTCACAGATTAATGAGGATAAATCTTTCATAAAAAATGCATTCCCCTAGAACAATTACATCTCTGTGACAACTCTTCAACATCAAACCTATTGCCATTTAAGCATAAATCCAAAGAACAAACTCTCATGAAACAGTAATTTCAAATTAAAACTTAAAGAGGCCATAATCAAACTGAAAAAAAAAATACAGCAAATACATATATGTACATACCAAGAAATATTTCTAATACCTTTCTCTGGCAATCTAACGCCTGTAACCAGAGGACTTTCAGCTCAGCTGAAAAATAACACATCTCCTGCCAGAAAAAGTCTCTGTTTATATAGATCCAGGACTGTGGCAGCTCACTTTTTCACAACAAGACAAACAAATTCTGGGCTAGTGGTTGAAACCGTGTTGACATAACTTGTGTTTACTTTATTGCAGTAAACAGCTATAATATCCAAAGCYTTTTAAATATTTACAGACTCTAATGTAATGTGATCATCAACCATAGTGGGTTATAGATTTCTTTCTTTCCTTTTTTTTTCCTTTCTCTTCTTTTTTATTTMTTTTGGTCAATGGCATGAGATTTTCACTTGCACTGCTGAACAGCTGTTTTATTCCAGGAGACAACAAGTGATATTTCAAGCACTAAAGTAGGAGTATATATCCCCAGTTCCCAGGAGGCATGGTCATGTGTTGGCTAATGGCAGTGTTTTTTTTTTTTCCTCTAAATTGTGCAGAACTCCACACCTTGCTCTAGGGCCCTTTCAATMACAGCCATGTCTTAGTCAGCACTGTATGTATTAGCTAAAATACATATCAAAACTACCTTTTAAGCTAACTATCCCTATGCATGTATTTTTCTGTTGATGAAATGCAAAGGCTAACTGTGATGTTTTTGCCCATGTCTCTTTATGTGTGCATCCACGTGCATGTGTCTGTCTGTCATCACAATTTTGAATGTACCTTTTAATCAATTTTAATAAAACATTCAGAAGGTAACCATTGGAAGTACATTTACAAGTGATTAATGTTTGGAGTCAGCCCATTTTAAGATTGCCACAGCCTCAGTCACTAACACATGGAGTAGGTGAAACTAAACCTGAACAGAGTCCTAACCGATTGTACAATACATTTGGTTAAAAAAATGCCACCAAATATTTGGAATGAACTCTGTTTTCTTTGCAAAAAAATATGCCGAATCACTGGATCACTGGATGCATTTTGATGGAATTTTTAGGAGATACAGTAATCAATAAAATTATCAAACTGAAGTTGGAAGCCAAGCTTATTAAAGAGATTGTTTTCAAACTATGTCACAATAACTTATTCTTATACTGTATACTTTTTATGGGTTCATGTGAACTGATTATTTTCCTGACAACAGCTTTATTTTTCTGAATTATGTAACGGGCAAACACTTTCACATTCCCCCACTGGTAACTGCCATGGCAGCATCAGCCATAGCGACAATGAACAATATGAGATGTGACTATAGATCCCATGTAGGTTACAGCTGTTCAATTAGACACTCAGACCTTGGCACAAACAGTGGGGGTGATTGGTGATTCACGGCAAATTGTCAAGTTTGCAGAAGCGTTGCTTGACATTATAATGCTGCCACGGACGCTGCTTTGCTTGTTTCTATTCAAATGAATAAGAATTATGTTTTGTTCAGGACTAATGAAACCACAATACATTTTCTGCCACAGAAAAGACAAGAGTGATGTTATTATCATCTAGGTGAGTGATACTCTTCTTCCACAAAACCAGATACTGTAGCAACAKMTAGAAAACTCTATTTTTGTCCTTGGATAGAATGAGATGTGACTACTAAAATGGAAACTCTAAACAGGTAATAGCCATATTTTTTTTTTTTTTTGTAATGTGTTATTTTACCCAAAACTATGTGTAGTGTGTTTCTGGTTAACAAACGTACCTTTCTTGTTAGGAAATCCACACAGGCTTTATCAAACTGTTAATTTATTTATATTCCCCCATTGAAAAAATAAATAAATAAATGACCAGGCATTTAATGTGCCACATTTAACATGCAAATTATTTCTTACAAAACTCAAGTTTGCCCATCAGTCATGTTGTCCTGCAGCCAGATTTGTTGGATAAATGCTTTACTCAAACAAGGACAAATTCAACCTAGTTTGTCAAACAAATGGTGCATTTTAATATGCATTTATTAAAGATAGCTTTTTGGGTCATGGTAGTTAGATTAATATTAAATTGAGAAAAAACAAACAAAAACAAATAAAAAACAATGCAATGATATTTGATATCATTTTAATAGATAATTTACTGTTAATAATTCTAAAGTTGTAGAATAAGTTGGCAGCTAAATATAAACCAAGTCAGACAGCCCAAATCATTAAAAAGAGTGTAATGCTATAAATATTAAAGTAAGAAAGCACAATATGTCACCTTGTCAATCTGAGGACAAACACAATTCTGATTTAAGGCAACATTTAGTACCTTTAGTGAGAAAATCTATTTAATTTCTTCCAACCCACACACCACTGAACACATGCAGAGGACATGAAAACATGATAGATTTTCAAACTTTTTTTTGTGAGGCAAAACTGCTAACACACACACACACACACACACACACACACACACACACACACACACACACACACACACATAAAGGGACAGCCCTCAGTCCATGATGTCCAGTGTAACCACAAACAAATTGTAACGCTTATGTACTTATGATGTACTTAAACATTAATTAGCTTCAAACCTGACTTCTTTGCTTGGTTTAATGGACACATAATAAAATCAAATACTGCTGAACCACAAAGTACCTTAAACTACAAGGGATTTTTCCTACCATCTTATAGAAAGGACTTTTTAAGGACAATTAACTTCAGTACAGAGAATAAGTTAGTTGTCTGACTAAAGAGTTCTTTAACAAAACCTAATTTCATGTTACAAAATTTGCTAGTACATGTGTTTTGATGTCACGTGAAGWGGCTGTACACCTGAGAAACCAATATGGCTCATTACGTTTGCAAGTTTAATATGTGGCTTTTCTAGCAATTAAACTTGAGTTTTGTACATTGTATAAACTAAAAACTATCACATAAACACAACAATTATCACATTTCTGTCAACACTGCTAGGTTTTGCCTACATAGGCTAGGTGAAAGTGTTCTTTAATCTTTTATTTTGTTTTGTAATTCTCTATTTAACAGCTATTTTGCATTTTAGTGTGTGTGCCAGTTTGTGTTTGTACCTTTTTGTGTGTGAAGGCACAGACTTTGCTTTAATTGATGGTTTTCATATATTCTTTGGTCTTTAAACTTTGTTATTTGTAATGAATTTGGTCTGTTTTATTTGGGTATGTCATAATGACAAATTGTTTAAATGTGTTGTGCCATGTGGCTTAGTAAATATTAATCAGATGAAATCCACAATAATTGTATATTTAAAAGTTAAAAAAATCAATATATGTGCTTTTGTTGTTTATCTGACAGTAGTGAGGGGATTTGACTTGAGTGCTGAATTTTTAATGAGGTGTTCCATATGTAATAAGATGGATCATTTTTAGCACATACAAATACTTTTTTTCTGTTCTATGTTTGTAATTTACATTTACATTGTTGTCCTTTTGTTTTTTCTTGCAATACTTTTTGTCATTTTTCTTAGCTGGATAATGTGAGCCCACTGTGCTTTTATTTAGACTTTTGTATTTGTTTGTGTTTGTACATATGAGTTAAATTAAGTGCCAGTTTTGTTGAAACTAAAGCATACCGAAGTGTGTCCCAGCACATTGTCTTTTAGTGAGAAAGTAAAAATGGATGATGGAGCAAAAGTGCGTGTTTTGTGTTTAACAGCTGTTCAGTTATCATCCATCTCTTGTTTTCTACTTTGTAATTGTGTCGTCTTTTACAGCRTGACTTCCTTTAGATTATGTCGTGAGTTTTAGTGCTCCCATTAGAAGAATGAAAAGGCAATACCAGAGAAAAACCTTTTCATTCTACAGTTTTTTTTTTATTGTGACCCACCACAAAGAAGAAAGCAGCATATGAACTGTTGCAACAATGTTGCCTTAATAGGGTCATTGTTGTTTTATTTTCATAACCCCAACACAGGGTTACAAACAAAACAACTGTTTTCAAAGCAAGTAGCATGCTGTCAATGATGTTTTGATATAATGATCCTTTTTTTGCACACCAATGATGATCTTGTTTATAATTGTGATTGCACCATGTTACAAGATTCTTACTGTGTCACATACTCCTGGTGGACCTAATAATGAAAACTTCACTGTGTGTGTCATTTGAAGCTGAATCAACATTTTTTTTGGCCACACACAATAAAAGAGCTGTGTAAGTGACAGTCTATTGCAGAGCGCTTGTTTTGGATTGCATAAGATTGTCTAGATGTTTGTGATGTCTTCCATCATATGTATTACAATGCATAGGCTGAACTGTATGTGCCACATTAATAAAAACGCATGTCTAATCTGCATGTCAGAACTTCTTAATTTCTCCTTTATACAATTACCTCATCACAATTAATTGATCTTGATGTTTTTACTTTTTTTTTAATTTTTTTTTTACTGAATCGTCTTGGTTATAGCTAATCAGCTTTATGAAAATGGTACACAATGGAAAATTAAATAAAATGTTCACTAAAAGCCATTCATGTGTACAGACAATTGATGTGATGTTAAAACATAAAAAAGATGAGTATAGAAAATGTGGGTTCTAAGCTATTCAATGACATCAAACACATGGCATTAAAAACAATAATAAATATAATAATAAAAATGAATAA